CCCCTCACCCCTGCCTCCCTCCTTCGCAGAGCATACACTGCCCCTTAGCACAGAAGGAGACCCGGGGTCTGGAACTGCTGAGCACCTCCCCTGAGCTCCAGGGCCAGCTACTGGGCTATCACATGTGTAGACGGACCCTGGGGAGCACTCGAGAGTGAGCCCCCCCCCCACGCTAGGTGTTGAGTGTGGCCCAGAGTGACCGTTCAGTCATCAGACAGGTCATCGCTAGGTTCCACCTCTACTGAAAGTGCAATGGGGGACACTCCTGGAGGAAGGGGTGTGGTCTGCCCTGACCGAGATGGCAAGAAATTTGGCCAAAGTCCAAGTGCATTCCCCCCTCCATGCATCTAACGTCTCTACCCATTACACGCCCACTAGTCATTCTCAACCAAGATGGATCTGTTTGTTATTTTTTTTCCAAAAATGTGTGGCGTTTCAGTCAGGGTTCCCCAGACACAACAAATGGGGTATGTGCTGAGGACCAGCAAGTCTGCACTCTGCTGTCTAGGCCAAGCATCTGCAAGTCCTACCAGCTGGTGCTACACGGTCTTGCGTCTCAAGACCTTCTGGAGACGGAACTTCTTCCCTTTCAGAGGAACCTCAGTCTGTTTTCCCAGTCTTCGTCTTACTGGGCGGTTCCCATGGTTAAACTGTGAAATACCCCACACGGGATCAAATCTTAGTCATCCTTGGCTGTTGGCTCTGGTTTGGTAGGTTTTAGAAACAAGAGGAGGTGGGGACCTAGCTGACGGAGCTAGGTTGCTGGGGAGTGCAGCACCTTGAGGGTGTTACGTTTCTGGCTTCCCCCGCCCCACTGCATTGTCTGCCCTGAACTGCACGGCACTTCTCTTTCTGTCTGGGCATTTTATCAGAGCAACAGAAAATAAGCCAGGAGAGTGACCCGCAGAAATGAAGGGAAAGTGGGGGATAATTGTCACTGAACGGGTGACATTTAACCCACAAGCCTAGTCCCCACACAGACTAGAGAGCTGAAGACATCACGCTAGATTTCTGTAACGTGCATTCTTTCCCGCCAGCTGCCTGGGTCCCGCCATTGTCTCTGCCCCCAAATAACACACGAGACACTATATTAGTTATGAAGCTGTTGGCTGTTTGCTATGGTTTCTTAATGGCTAGCTCTGACTTAATTATTAACCCATAATTACCAATATATATTTTTATAAGGTCTTATCTTACCGAGGACACAGCCTCACATGTCCTCTCTTCCTGGGATGACATGGCAACTCCCTACTCTTGACTACATTTCCCAGAATCCTCCTTGGCTCCTAGTCCCGCCTCTCTTGCTTCCCTATTGGCCAATGGTGCTTTGTTTATTAACCAATAGGACAACATATACACATCAGACCTCCATAAACACAGGAAAGCCATCTTATATATGGTAGCCACTAGCTGAGGTGGCGCCTTTGCCTCCGACCTGGGTCACGAGCCCTTTTTAAAACATCATCTAAGTTAGGAAGAAGACCAGATGCGCATTCTGTTCCTCTGGGACTTAGGGACCCCACTCCAGGCTTCTGCAGACTTTCCTCCCTCTCTTGTGTCTGCTACCCTGAGGGATCTGGGCTGTCTAGACTGTTATACTGGGGTCAGATGAGGAGGACTGTGACCTATGAGCCAAATCTGCCCCGTGATCTGTGTCTTTATGGCCTGTGGCCTAAACATGTTTGGTTTTTTCTTTTTTTCCTAACTTAACAAAATTTTTTAAAGAGTTGTAAAAACCAAAAAGGAAGAAAGAATGTATGTGGCTTTCAAAGGCTGAGATGTCTAATACTTTACAAAAACAAACAGGCCTACCTTTGATCTAGACATTCTGTGGAACACGACGCTGGCCTCCATATTGATATTGTCATGCTTAAATGTTGAGGATTGAATAATGGAGGAAGACACAGGCTCTGGAGACCCTAAGACGACCCCGGCCCCCAGAGACTCATGAATCATGTCTACCTTCCCATGTCTCTTTTACTTTCAATTTTAATTTCAATTAAAATATGACCACTTCTCCTTTCTCTTTCTTCCTTCCAACCCTTCCCCATCTCCCCTCCCCTCAACTCCCTCTCAAATTCATGGCTCTTATCCTTTGATTACTCTGGTTACATAGACATGGTTTTGTGTGTATATGTAACAAGAATAACACACATATATATGATATACATATATATATAAATAAACTTGTAAATAAGTGCTACTTGTTGAGTCTGTTCGATGTTGCAGATGACTATGTGAGTTCAGGTCTGACCACTTTGTATTGGGTAACCAACTAAGGGTCTCATCCGTGGGAGAGGTCGCTCTCCCTCTCCTAATTGCCTCCTGCCCATGTCCTTAAGAAATTAATGAATAAGGGAACAGAGGACAAAACAATGGGAGAGAGGGGTATAATGATTGCCCCCACCCTCAACATAACATCCATATGTTCTCGATCGTCCAGGGGGAGCTAAGCACTCAGCCTTCTGGGCTGCCATCCTTAGGAGTACCCGCAGGGCTGATGGGCTCACAGCCTTCATGATGAAGCTCTTGGCTTCCACACCAGGTGTCCCCAACTGGTCTCTGTTTCTCTAAAGATCTGCTTCCTGGTGGGGGTCACAGCTTTGCTTCTGGGTCTAGTTTTGCACAACGTTGCTGATTTTAGCACCCAGAGTCTCTGTTTCTCCCCCTTAGGTCTCTCACAGGTTTCCCTCCGGAGCAGTGGTTCTCAACCTTTCCAATGCTGTGACCCTTTAATAAAATCCCTTATGTTGTGGTGACTACCACCACCACCCATCACCCCCTTCCCCCGCAACCATAGAATTAATTTGTTGCTACATCGTAACTGTAATTTTGCTACTTCTATTAATCGTAATGTAAATGATTTTTTTTGAGCTAGAAGTTTGCCAGAGGTGTTGCAACCCACAGGTTGAAAACTGCTGCTCTAGCAGGATGTTTTCCTACCTTATCTTGGTGACTTCGAACTACAATCTTCTTGCCTATGGGCCAGCTGTCCAACAACCCTGGCTTTACCTCTAAGGAAAAGTGACTTATATACCATCAACATTCATCCAGAGACATGTGGGCTGGGCCTAGGCCAAATCCAAAGGCAACAAGCACCAGACAGAGATACGAAGTCACCGCCAGTCACTGCTGATCCTGGCCTACCCCAGAGGAACCTGAGGTGACCAACAGATCTCAAATTCCTGGAACAGTTTAGTAAAGTGTATCTGTCCTGGGGTTTTCAGAGGCTTAGAAAGACATTACCAATGTTGGGGGTCTCTGCTCTTCATTTCTTAACCCTTGCAGTTGTGTAAGTAGCTCAGCCTCATTCTCAGATCTCATAGGTTCTCCAGGAAAAGAGAAGTTTGGTAGGACTCCAAAAGAGATGCTCGCCATGGCAACAGACACCTCTGTAGTGAGTTTCTATCCACAGGCCAACATTTGGGTTAGGAGAAGGTAAACACCTCTTTCTTGCCCACGGTTCTATCATTGGTATCTGATCATGGCTGCCACCTAATATGAACTACACAACAAAAATGGGTGCATAGCCATGTTGACTTGCAAGAACATTTATTGAGCCTTGTATTTTGCCCAGTACATGCATGAATCAATCCATTGGCTATGATTACTAATGCAGAGCTGGCTAGCATTCCCTTATAGAGAATCACTACCACCCAACAAGACAGGGTTTTGTCCTCCTCCCCTCCTTTGTTCCTCACTTCATCACATGTATCCATGATTCTGAGGGGACATGAAAATGCCCCCTGCTGGTAGGCATGCTATGGTGTGAAAACGCCCCCTACTGGTAGGCATGTTATGGTATGAAGCCCCCCCCCGTAGGCACACTATTTTTATTTCTACTATCTCGTCCAAGGACAGATGTTTTCCTTTATCCTGCATTGCTCCCCATGACTCGATCCCTGCTTTCTGATGGGCCAAAGGAAGATGTTGACAGGTCCTTTGTCTCAAAAGAAAACCTTATTTCTAGATGGCATCTCTAAAGATGTCACTCATTAACCACCCTTTCACTCTTAATTCTCTAATAACAGGGGCTGAAGCCACTCTATATGCCCAGTTTACCTCCAAGATACTCAGTTCTAAGTTTTCAGCCTTGTGCTGGTTCAATTTTCAGAAACGCATGGGCAGATGGAACCAGTAGTTTCCATCCTCACAGGGAGGACACACCTCTTTATCTTTTACATTCCCCCACTTTTATTAGAGACTGACATGAAACAGAACATGGTTTTGTATTAAGCTATCTCTGTAAATCACCTAGGCTGTCTTCTGTAATGCTTGCTGGACCCATTGTCACCAATACCTTTGTGGCAATAGCTAAGATGTTCTGGCCCTGCAGGACTTCCTGGTTCATGAGTAGTTCCCAAAGTATTGCTGCAAACAGGGCGAACTTGGGCCCTCCAGAAACAGGAAGAATGTGGGAAGACTTCAGCTGCCGTCCCTCATTGGATAACCTCAGTTACTTGGGCCCCACTAATGCCCAGATGTCAGCAGTTATTTCTCAGCAGAACACTTCTGTTATCAAGTAAAGCAAAGCCAGGAACAAGTAAGTGACTCAAGTGTTTGTTAGGTGACTGAGTGTTGATACAGTGTTGGCCATTACGGAGCTCTGAACATGGACATCATGCCACAATCCAGTCAGCCCCAAGCACTATTGTTGTTAAAATGTCTAAGTTTACCCAGTAAGGAAACATGAACCCTGAGTCAACGGTTCCACATGGAGTTTTATTGGTAGACAGGAAAGGAAAGGGGGGGGAGTGAGAGATAACCAACCCATGCAGAGCAGAGAGAGAGAGGGAGAGAAAGAAATGAGATATGAGGAAGTAAGAGAGAAAAAGACAAGAAAGTGAGAGAGAATGAGAGAGAGGAAGACAAGAGTAAGAGAGAGCGTAAGCGGGCGGGCAGGGGTCAGTCCTTTAAAGGGGTCCTTTGCACCGGCGTGCAGACTGGTTCTCATGGGACCCTGGGCTGGCCAGAGTGCTGCCTGAGTGCATTCTGCCAGGTAGCAGGGCAGGCCAGCGTAATGCCTGAACCTTTCAACCACTCACTAACACTCAGTCCCAGGCTTTCAGTCCGGTGTTTGTTCAGTTACCCCAGACGCTTGACTCATGAGGGACTGTATTTATGCTGAGTCTGTCCCCTGCCTTGGGGTTACTTCGGTTGAATGATATCCACTGGTTCAGGTCCCATAGCAAGAGACTGAATGTGCCAAGAGAGATCAAGAGCGTGACAACAGGATAAAAAGGGGAGGGGTGACGAAGAAACGGCAACCTCAAGTGCATGAAGCTATTGGGTGGCCACCCTGGTGGGTGTCTTTTTCTCGCTTGTGGGAATCAAAGCACTCTCCTGCCCAGTTGAAAGGACCTTCCGACTGCCTGAACACCGAAGCCTGTGGCGGAGAGTTGTAAACAGATTTGCAGATGGGAATGCAAGGGAACAGAGAGCATGGTGGTTAGAATAAGAAAAGCCAACTTCCCACTCCCTCTGTTGGAACTAGAGCCTGTTTTTTTTTTCCAGGGATGCAATAAAGTAAATGGTAACAACCTTAATTATGTTGGTGATGATGGCGACACATCCCTAAAGTCCCGCGAGCTCTGGCTCACTTCTTCTGGTTTGGGGCTTTCTGCTCCCCTTGAGGTTTGCTGGAGCAATGTGGCAAGACTGGACGCCAGCCCTCTCTGGCTCCGAGGGGAAAGTAAATCATCTTACACTTTACAGCGTGGATAGTCCAGCCAGACAATAAAAAGACTCCAGATATGTGTTCAATCAAACCGTCACACCCAGAAGGGTGTTCTCTCCAATGGCTTCCTCCCCAGAACAAGAGCGACCTAAGCAAGCAAACTGGAGTCGATACTCACGATTCCCTCTTGCTCTACCATGAACCGGGCACGTGTTCTCCAGTACGACCAACCTTCCTGCCTCTCAGGCTCAGGAGCAACTTCCTGTCTGCTGTGCCTGCAGCCACGTAGGGACTGAGGAACACAGCAAAGCCACAAAAGGCAGCTCAGTGCCAAGCAGACAGTGTCTTGCCGTGGGGTGAGGCCATTGTTGTAGGACTGGCCCATTGCTTCGAGGTGGGTCTATTGCTATGGGATAAGTCTGTTGCTGTGAAGTAGCTCTATAGGGAGGTGGGTCCATTTCTGAGGGGCTTGAGTCCATTGCCGTGGGGCATGGGGTGTTGCTGTGGTGTGTGCTCAGTTTTGTGGGATGAATCCATTGCTGTGAGACAGAAGTCCATTGTGGTGGGGTAGGGTCCACGCTGCGGCATGTGGGTCCATGCTGAGGGGTATGGGTGCGTAGCCATGGAGCCTCTGCCAATGCACATGGTGTGTGAGTGTTTTACTGTGTAGGAATTTTACCGTGATAACTAGGGAATTAGAAAATGAAAACTCTAGTGGAAAATGTAGCATTTCTTTTTATCTTCATTCTTCTTTTGAATGCTTTAGGTCCCACAGTCACCAGAGAATCTGGTGTTCCGGGTCATAGGAAGGAGGAGGAGGAGGAAGAGGAGGAGGAGGAGAATGAAGACAGAGAAGAAAAGGGGGAGGAAGAAGAAAGTTGGGAGAGGAGGGAGATGAAACCTATTTGAGTAAGATACAAGTCCTAAGATGTCCTATGGAGAGGGGACCCGTGAACATAGAGCTGGGAATTGAGGGTGAAGCCAGAGAGGCTGAGCAGGGAGGTGTGGAGCAGGGCTGCCGAGGCTGCTGTTTGCATCTTAAATGGAAGTAGTATGGCTTCAGTGTGAGTGTGTGTGCGTGTGTGTGCGCACGCGCGCGCACGCGCGCGCAGGCACGTGTGAGAGCTGTGGAAAGAAGGGCTGGAGAAGAGATTCCGAATAATGAAGACAGCTGCGGGCCAGTGGAAGAGAAGTCATAATAGTGAGCGTGGGTTGACCGGCTGTGAGCCTAGTGCAGTTCAGTGTTTAAACAGAGCACACAAATACCTTGGTTGAAAAGGTAATAGGATTATCCCAGGCTTTAATACGAAGAAATCAAAATGCAGAAAGCACGTTCACAGACCTATCAACCATGCGATGCTACAGTTAAGGTAAACCAGATAGACCAAGAGGCAGCAGAGTGGGAGAGAAGTCAAGGGTGCTTTCTGAAGTGTGTGGGAGTCTGGAAGAAAAGACAGGCTTCAGATTGGTCTGAAAAGAAAACACAGGTTGGTTGGTGGGATGTGCAGAGATAGTCTCGGAGGCAGGGTGGGGCAGAAATATGAAGGGTGAACACTGAGGCACATGGATGTGGGACGTTGAAATGCCAGGGTGACACACAGGAATCCATTCACATCACATCCCAGGGCGCTGTGGTGACATGCTTAATAGAACTGAATTCTTTTAACAAGGCATGGTTTCATACTCTTTCAAGATTCTGGCTCTTTGCTAAATTATGGGCCATCTGGCTTACTTATCTGCTTAATACCACACAGACAGTGTATGCATAGGGAAATGGGCTGTTGTATTCACTGAAGACTCTCTAGAGACAAGAGAGTAGCCACCCCCCCCAGGAGCCCAGGCCATTAGCTCCAAATCACCGTGTGTCTCTGATGCAACGAGAGAGCAGCTGTGTCTGATAGACGGCAAAGAGCAGAGTTTCAGAGCCAAGCTCCAAATCCTACTGTTTACGAATTGTGAGGTTCTGTCTTTGTTCAACTTTCAAATTGTAGTGTTTCTGTCTGAAAAGAGACATGACTTATAGGAGAGCCAAGAGCTAGCCTGGCACTCAAATATCAGACAATGGTATCCGTTATCATCGCTAGAGATGCCCTTTGTAAGTGCTTATCTTGGTAGTTGCTCTTGTCCTTTCTTGGGTCCCTAGTACTGTAAGAATTTTGTCAGTCTCCACATACCAGTTCTCTGTTGATGTTGGGGATTCTCTTGCAAGGCTAGTAGTAGTCCTGAGTTATGAGGAGAGCTACAAAGTATCACCGTTGTTCACCGTCTCAAAAAAGGGTTTACTCTTGTTCAGCCACAGCAATGACTACCGTGAGTTTCCTTGCAGGTAAACAGCGCCCAGCTATGAAGCGTGCTAAGAGAGGTCAGGACTTCGCAGGACGGAGAAGGAAATGTTACCGAAGAGAGTCTCTGAAATGGAAAGGCCATGTGCTTTGCAGACAACAGATGGAGTGATCTCACTGAGCAGGGTCCTCCTCCTTCCTTGAGGTTGGTTCCCTGGGGAAAATGTATCACCCATGAAGAGTTTCTCTGGAAAGGAGTTGAAGATACCTTGCCTCTTTTGAAGAACCTCCTTTGCTGAGGAGTTCTGAAATTCAGCCTGTCTCTAAACCTAACTGGTCCCAGTGCTGTGGACCCTTGGAGACAATTACAAACCAGACGGGACTCAAGTTTCAGTTACCCAGGCCATGTGTCTTCTGATTGAGGGTAGGGAAGGAGGATTCCGGGATACACACAGCCTGTTTTTATGAGATCTCAGGGAGGACAGCCATGCCTGGTCAGAAAGCAAGACTTCCTCTGGAGAGGCCCTCCACAGGCTGGTCTCCCCCTCTCCTCTGCCGTCTCAGGAATAGGCAGTGTGTTTACGAAGATGCCTCAAGGTTCCATTGCTATGTAGAAGCAAGTATCTAAGTATTCCAGACCCTATCACCCTCTGTGCCTAAAAGGAAGGAAAACCCAAACTTGAATGAAACCAAGTTCTAAAGAATCAAGATCAGATCAAGGGAGATGGCTCAGTCAATAAATTGCTTGCCACAAAAGCATCGGGACTGGAATTCAATCCCCAGAATTTATGGAAAAGGCAGGTGTGATGGCATGAGCTTGTAATCCCAACATGGGGGCGGTGGATGATCACTGGGGCTCACTGGCCAGCCAGCTTAGCTGAGTCAGTGAGCTCCAGGTAAAAATGAGAGAGTCCGTGTCACGAAATGGGGTGGTTGGCATTTGAGCACCACCTCTGGCCCCCACATGCAAATGCACCCATGTGCTGCTTACCTGCACATATATACCAACACTCTCACACACATGTACACACACACACACGCACACACACACACACAGGGAGAGAGAGAGAGAGAAAGAGAGAGAGAGGGAGGGAGGGAGAGAGAGAGAGAGGGAGGGAGGGAGAGAGGGAGAGAGGGAGAGAGGGGAAAACAACAACAACATTTTCTTGGCAGTAAACGGAAGGAAGCAGGAGGGTCAAGTCTGGAAACCTTCAGTCAGGGCCTCCAGAGGCACGTCTGTTTCCTGGAATCTGCTAAAAGATCACAGCAAATCGGCCAAGATGTTCAACTGAGGTTTTGTGTGTGTGCCCCTGTGTGTGTATGTGTGTGTGTGTGTGTGTGTGTGTGTGTGTGTGTTAAGAAAACACATTCTCCATTTGGGTTGTTTTTGAGGGATTGTTGGAAAGATGTGGTTTAAGGAGGAAAATTGTTCTCGGACAGCTATGGAAATAATGGCTCTCTCTGCTGTTCCCTGAGTTGCTGGCTAAGGTCACAGGAAGCAGAGTGGCGCAGGGCTTGTAAATTACCTGGACACCACGGACAGGCTGGATCTAAGAGAATGGTGCCAGAGCAACACTGTCCAGTAATTCCCTATCCAGAGCATTCGCAGTTGGCTGGTTGTATGGAAGATGGGACGGTATGATTTCTGTAGCCGGCCTAGACTTCAAAACAAAACAGGAGAAGCCATTTCATCTGACCTGCTGTCCACTCCCTGCACAAGGACGCATCCCAGGTCCCCAGTGTCCACCCATGTGAACCTCGGCAGACTAAACAGCATGGTCTTCATAAGGTCAACCTAGTACTCTCCAAACAACATCTAAGTGTTGGTCTTGACCTCAAATGTGCCTTTAGAGTTACAGTCCATCAGCAACGTGGGTAGCAGCCATCAGCTAACTTGGGAGTCCCAGTCCCAATTCCAAGGCACAGATTATCTTGATTGATTGACCCTGGGACCTCTTTGTCTCTCTGGGATCACCCTCCATCTGTTTCAGAAAAGGTAAACTGAGGACATGCTACACATTTTGTACTTTTAATAAGCAGTAAAAAAAGCTTTCTGCATTGTCATCATGGCCAACCAGGAGAAGGGTATCCTTGGGGCCTAGATACAGACAAGGTCAGGTGGGCCATTCTTACAGTCATTCGCCTAGGACTTTATTCTTCCACTCAGCCAGCCAGCCACTCCCCTGCAAATACTTGGCACTAGGATAGACCCTGGAGGTCTTAAGAGGACCCCACCCATGAATTTTCAGAGCCTCCCAACTATGAAGTGGCATCCATAATGCCAGGGGAAGCCAGAGGGGGCCTTGTAATCTTTCATGACCGAGAGGGTAAGTACCCATGTGGATCCTAGAGGATCGGATAGACTCCAGCAAGGAGAAAAAGAGTGTGAGGGAGCTCTAGATGGGTTAATGCCACGGTGAGGGGGATGGAGTGAGGAGCAGCCACAGGGTAACTTCCTGGGAGATGCAGGTGGACTCCTGGGTGACTGTGGCATTAAGGTAGTCACCAGCAGGTCACATGGGCTCTTTCCATGATAGGTGTCAGAGGCGATCTTCTCCGGAGCATTGAAAAGATGACTGACAACTGGGACACAATCCATGACAAATCAAAGAGTGCTCCGGAGTACAACAGCTGAGTCACGAGCCAGCCTGGGTGTCCGCCATCGGAGGGCCAGGTGAGAGAAACGTGACTCACGCACCGAAGAACAAATTTACACCGTTTACAGGGAAATGGGCAAAACCAGAGATGGCTATGGATTTATTTTCATCCCTTTTGCCATCCTTTGGTATTAGAAAGCCACACAAAACTGTGTGTGTGTGTGTGTGTGTGTGTGTGTGTGTGTGTGTGTTTGTATGAAAGTAGGTGCGAAAGTGTGTGGGAGAATGGAATAAACTCACCAGGGGAGGAAGTGGAAAGACCAAAGGAGTGTTCGGCTTTGGACAGGGATTAAGAAAGTTGCTGCAAGTCGTGGGTAGACAGAGGGATGACAGGGGCGCCGAGGAAAGTTCAGGCCCCAGCACCAGAGACGGCATGGTGGTCTCACTCAAAGGCTACAGTGGGACAAGAGAGAGAGTCTTCCTATACTGTGTGAAGACGGCGAAGGCTCCCAACAAGAGCCAAGAGCCCACCCTGAGGCTCTCTGATTCCTAGGCTGGAGGCAGGGAAGGAGGTGGGAACAGGATGCCACGCCCCCCTTGATGTAGACTCTATTCTCCTCTATTCTCAGGTGAGGGGGTTGTGGCACCAGGCAGCCTGCTGGCTGCAGTCTCACCAGGAATGCCACTGTGGCAGGACTGTCCGCATCTGGGAGCAGAACCCTGGGACGCTGGGTTCTACCTCCCAGTTCTTACAGGGAGGATGGGAAAACAGGGTGTGTGTGGTGGGCTGGGGGACATGCTCAGCCTGTAACACATGGCTGAAAATAAAAAACTAGTAATAATAAATTAAAAGAAGGTACTGTTTGAGTGACAGTACTCAGTGATGGGGGGAAGGAGGTGGCTACATGGAGGGTCCAGATCTGAATATCAAGGGGGTTCAGTACTGACCCATGCCTGTAGCTGTGGGACCAGGACAAAGATCTGGGCCAACTCCTCTCAGGTGACGGAGGAGCAGGGTAAACTCGGAGCTCTGTCCAGCAGCACCTACAGGCTGATGAGCCCAACTGAAGGAGAAGCCTCTGGAGCCTGACATCAGAGGGGGTTAGTTCTCCATCACCAGCATGAGTGTGAATCACGCGGGCAGACTGGAACTCATACCCAAACTTCAGATGAGCCCAGGGCTGCCTCTGAGCCTATGAACACTGAAAAACAACAAAACAAAACAAAAAGCAAAACTAATGTCACATCTGCAGCGTCAACTGACTCAGCAGAGGTGACACAGAGGCCTGAAGAGCTGGCTGGTGCCCACTCTGAGAAGGCACAGGACAGTCACCTTCGTTTCCTGGCAGCTGTGACTGGAGTTGTGTCCTCTAAGGGTTCAAATGTCAGTGCTAGGCTATGGTGGCCCCTTAAAAGGCAGGGGCTTGTGGGTGTAGTTATATCATCAGGGACTCTGCTATTGGGAGGGATTGGTGTGGTTTTCCTGGTCCCACAGTTAGTTGTCAGGGGAGGGATATTATAAAAAACCAAAACTTTCCCTTCCCTGACGTGTCCTGGCTTCCTCATTGTACCACCCTCCTACAAACGATCCTGCAAACAATAAATCCACCATGCTGGATTGCAGTTGGCAGAATGAATACACGTCAGAGCTGAGACCGGGCTATTTAGACTTGTAAATAAGATTACCTGTACACTGTGTGAAGGTGTATTGCTGTGATTGGTTTAATAAAGAGCTGAATGACCAATAGCTCAGCAGGAGAGAAGAGGCGGGACTTCCAGGGAGAGAGAGGAACTAGAGACGAATCTAGAAGGAGAGGCCAGTGAGACACAGAGTAAGTCGGACATACAAAATCGAAGAGAGGTAAAAGGGTACATGGTAAAATGTAGATTAATAGAAGCAGGTTAGTTAAGTTAGAAAGGACTAGTTGGAAACAAGCCTAAGCTTAAAAGTCAAGCTTTCGTAATAATAAGTCTCCGTGTCACTATTTTGGAGTTGGTGGGCCAAAAAGAGCAGGCTACAACTTCCCAATAAACTTGTTATTGAGGGATATTAGCCTACACAGGATAGGGATGCCATATGACATTTTATTAGGGAGAAATCACTTACTTGAGAAGCCGAGAACCCAAGGTCAGCGTTCCCCTGCTCTCCAAGACCCGACTGGAACCCCAAGAGAGCACAGAGTTCCCTTCCTCTTAGCTCTTTACCCCCTGCATCTCTACATACCTGTGACCACGCCCAAACGGGTGTGGTCAGTTCTAGGTACATACGCTCTCTCCCTACATACAACTTGTTTTCTGTTTAAAGTCACCAGTCTAAGGTATTTTGTTGCAGCAATGGAAAATTAGCTGGCATACCCAACACCTGGCAAGGGAACGCACAAGACTGTGCCAAGTGTCCACCCCTGCTCCCCACCTTCCCTACCCCACCTTCCCCTCTGACTTGATGGGAACCTGTTGACCTCAAAGGGTTCCCAAGAGCCACAGTTCAAAGCTGCTGGACTCTGAGGGAGCCCAGGGTCTAGTCATCATGGAGTCCTCAGCTAGACTTCATTACAGCAGCCCCCGAGGCGCTTTGACCAAGGCAGGATCCACACGGTACTTCATCCTCTGATGGCACCCCATCGCCTAGCTTGCCTAGACCGTTAGGGCAGCAGCAGCCAAGAGCGTGTCAGACAAGAGGGATCTCAAGCCCACCCTGGGCCCGGTCTATGTTTAGATCTTAAAGAAATTCCCCTTGGGGTACATTAAAAATCTAGGAATCTTTGGTCTTCACAGTGTCTGCTTGTGGTAACTATACCAAAGCCAGCAGGCACCAGGAGAAAGAGAGAGAGATGACAGACGGACAGAGACAGAAAGAAAGGGAGGGGAATGAAGGAAGAGAAACAGAAGGAAGAGGAAGGGTTAGGAAGGAGGGGAGAAAGAGATTAAGATGAAAGAAATGGACTAAAGGATGTATGGGAAGGAAGGGGACAGGAGGACAGGAGGAGGGAGGGAGGAGAGAGAGAGAGAGAGAGAGAGAGAGAGAGAGAGAGAGAGCGCTCATGTGTCCCTGATATTTGACATCTGAAGCTTTTAGCAGGCGGACGACACTGTAGGGCGTGGCTGGCTAGGAACTTGGAATGGGACACCCCCTCTTCCTGGAACGCAAGGCCCACTCACAGTTCCTGCAAAAGGGTAGCAGTCCCCAGAGATCCCAGGTGCTTCCTCACTGGGGGGGGGGGGAGATCGGAAAGGGGAGGGAACAAACCAAACCCTGAGTTTAGCCAGCTGAGCGTAGCTAATTGAAACCCTCGATTAACCGGATCAGCTTCCGCCTTCAGGAGACAAGCAAACACTAAGAAGACAAATTAGCACCCGGGATTCCCCCCTCTTCTCCCTCTGGTGACATTCTGAACACAGAGACTATTGGGTACACAAGGAGCTTCGCACCCTCTGACACCAGGCTGGAAACACCAGGCTTGCCACCCCAAGCTCTTGGCTGCCTACGTCCTGTCTGAGCTTATTTCTGACCCGCGCAGCAGGGATTAAAATAACAACCATCTGTGCAGCCATGGCTGGGAGGAGTTGGGCTGGCTCCCCAGGACCCGGCTCCCTTCAACCTCCCTGCCTCCAAGTCCTCCTGCTACACGGCTGCCTGGGCGTGCTGTGGACTGGCCAGCCACCGTCTAGCTTCGCCAGCAGAAGGCGCGTTTCCCCCACAGCCTGGAGTTGAGGCAGAGGCTTTTTAGAAAACCAAGCTTACCCACATAAAAGGGGCGGAGGACCCAAGGAGAGCCGCACTATGGGCGGTGCTGAGCCGGCTCCGGTTTAGGGAACACTGGCGCCACCTCCTGGAAGACCAGTACTGGCATGCCCTGTGCAAGCTCCAACCTGGTCTCCAGTAGGCGTAGCGTTACCTTCTGCCGGCCTCGGGACCCCAAGGCCCATACCGTTTTCTTTTCTTTCTTATTTCTTCCCCCCTTTTTCTCTCTCCACCATCTTTCCATTCTCCCCTCCCTCTCTTACTCTTTCCAGGCAGGCTGACAAGGAATTTACGACGTAGCAGAGGGTGACCTTGAACTCCTGATACCCCTGTTTCCACCACCCAAGGGCTGGGATCACAGGCGTGTGCCACCATACCTGGATCTTTTTTTTTTTTCTCTCCCCTCTTACATGCTTGCATCCCGTGGGGGTAGATCAGAGCCCTGTGCACGCTGGACCAGTGCTGCAATTGCTTTTGTGCCCTAGCCCAGCCTCTGGTAATTGTTCTTTAGGAGGTTTCAGTACACATCTCCCTTTGTGTCCCGTGCAAACCCTTCCCCCTCTCTAGTTCCTCTGGCCAGTCTCTCCAGGGTTCGGTCCTGGTTTCTGAGCCTCTAAAGAGGGGACTCCGCGAGTGCCTCGAGTAATGCTTCCCCTTCTGGGGGGGGGGTGACCCCTTCCTACTCACACTCTACACGGGCTGTGTGGCAAAGCCGTTGGTGCTGGCCTCTGAACTGAGGTCCCACCTCCACTCTGTCTTCTGTTTGGACACGGTGCCCTTGGAGGGGTGGGGTGGGGCGGGTCACAGAATCGATTTGTCTATGCCTGGGTTTCCTCACCCATAACTGAACTGACAGCAGGGGACACCAGGAATGGCAGGCGCCTTGTCTCATGACCCTGTCTCCAGGGCCCTTGGGTCAGCCTCAGTGTGCCCAACGCTCTGTGTGTGTGTGTGTGTGTGTGTGTGTGTGTGTGTGTGTCCTCATGGTTTTATCCCCAGTGGCACTTGTCCCTCACATCACTTACACACCTGGATGTCATTTCATACCAACTTGCCCAGGCCGTGCGTAGGACAGGGTTTTTGCAGTGGGCGTGGTGGTGAAAACATGGTGTGGGGTTATGTCAATGGGCTACGTCAAGAATCTACGTGGTGATCAGCCCCCACCTATGATCCAGACTCAGGGGCCAGCGGGGCTCAGCTGGGGGATCCTGGAAGCAAGGGCGGCGGTGCCTGCAGTGGGACTAGAGAGAGGACTAGCCCGTCCACCCGGGCTCTGCCTGGCCGGGCACAGCTGTCCTTCCTCCAGTTTCCTTTAAATCGATGGCTATTGGGTGAACAGAAGGCAGGCTACGTTTATGTTAAAACAAGAGCTTTCAGGGCACTCTGAATGAATCGTTTCCACTCCTGTTCACGCCATCGGATATGCGCACGCGCGGGCATCTCCCAGGTTAAATTAAGCTGGCTGGTGAACTCTATCTGTAAAGGAGACGGAATGTGAAACGGGCCTAAGAGGCCCAGATTAGAAAACTTCTTTGCCCTGGAGGCTGTGGGCATAGATATTGGAGCCGTCTAAATTTTTGTCTTTCCCTTGTGCTGGGGCAGGGGAATCAAACAGACAGGAGAGGACATGGGAGCCCTGGGGTGCGGTGTTTCTGGGGGTCGGGGCGGGGGGAGGGATGCTTGGTCATGAAGAAGCTAGAGTTCCTGGAAAAGCTCAGTAGATGTGAATTCCAAAGTCCTGGATTGCTGTGCCTGGGGACTGAAACAGCCTTGTCCTGCAGCAGTGGCCTTGAGACCCAACACACACACACACACACACACACACACACACACACACACACACACACACACACACCCTTTGCTCCCTTGCCCTGAAGCTCAGTAGGTTTCTGGAAGCACACAGTTCTTAAACCCCAGGGCCAGGTGGACCCCTGTTCTCACGGGTGAAAAGCCTGTGGCCCAGGACTTCCCATCTTCAGCAGTACAATTCACAACTTGAGGGAATTGGAAATGATGTTATAAAGTGATTTTTTTTTTAAGGAATAGTGTAATTTTTTTCAAGATCGTGATAATTCACCTGAGTCAATGAGCCCACAGATGGGCCTCTCCTTGTAAATATACATAGAACGCAGTTGAGATTCTTAGGGTGTGCCATGAGATGCTGTTACAACTAGCCTCTAAATTACTCCAGGGTCACTTGCCAAGCCTTAAGGCCACCAGAGGCTAATGAATTAGAGGCTCTGGGGCTGCAGTGGGAAGTGCATGAAACTCCAGTGCCACCTAGTGGATCCACAGGACTCTTCCCATTCCAGGATTTCCCCACCTACAGAGAGCAGGGTTTCCCCTCCAAGAGCAGGACACTAGGTGGTACCCAAAGTGGGGGTCTTTACAAAGGCGATCCTGGTAATGCATCAAGAAACGTGCGCTTAACAATGGAACAGCGCAGCTGGTATCTTTTGTATTTGTATTTCATTTTAAAAGGAAGAGAGCCAACATTGGTTCTTCTGCAGGGGCCCAAAGCAAGATAAAGATAAACATAGGAAGGAAGGAAGGAGTGTGACCTCCAACTCCATTCCCAAGACAGCAAGTGGAATCAGGTTTCAAAGGAATTTAAGGGTTTTTCTGCGCTCTCTCTCTCTCTCTCTCTCTCTCTCTCTCTCTCTCTCTCTCTCTTCAACGTTCTGTGTGTGTGTGTGTGTGTGTGTGTGTGTGTGTGTGTGTGTGTGTGTGTGTGCATGCGCCTTGGATGGAATGCTTCATCCC